ATTGGCATCACACGCCCCCGGGCACACATGGGCTCACACCAGCACTCTGGGGCACACAGGGGCACCCCCACAGCCCTGGGGCACACGCAGGCACACACACACCCCTCAGGGCACACAGGGATCACACACGCACTCTGGGGTGCACACAAGCACCCACACGCACACCAGGGCACACATGGGCTCACACACGAAGCCCAGGCAGGCACAGACTCACACATGAAGCCTGAGCACATATAAACCAACACAGACACAGCCCTTGAGCACACACAGACTCACACATGAAGCTCAGGCACACACAGGCTCACACACAGCCCCAGGGCACACACAGGCTCATACATGAAGCTCAGGCACACACAGATTCACACACACACCCTGGGCACACACAGACTGGTACATCCAGGGCACACATGCTCACACACAGGCTCACACATGTAGCTCAGGCTCACACACAAAGCCCAGGCATGCACAGATTCACATATACCAGGGCACACACAGGCTCACACACACAGGCTCACACTGGGCACCACAGGCCCCCATACCTTGGGTTGTGCACATACATGCCCACCCAACGCTGTGCATGCACACAGCAATGTGCACACACACCTACACCACACACAGGCACCACGGGCACACACAGAGCCAGGTGTGAGCACACACAGGCATCCCCAAACTGGGGGGACATTTGGGCACAGGGAACACTCTGTGTGCCCGCAGATTGTGCCCTCACACACATGTGGGAATGCCCACGGGCTGCACTGCATGTGCACATATTCCATACACACACAGATTCCATGCACACACACAGATTCCATGCACACACAGATTCCATGCACACACACATGCACACACCATGTGCACACACACACCATGTGCACACACACATTCCACACACACACATTCCATGTGCATACATTCCATGTGCACACACACACACTCTATGTGCGCACACACGCCATGTGCACGCTGCACTGCTGAGCAAACGTGGGCTCACACACAACACGTCTGCACTTGTGCCAGCATGCACAGCTGCTGTGACACATGGACACATACATCTGCCTGAGGAACCTGGCACACCCACTGCCACATGCACACCCGGGACATGGGCACACATGGCTGGGGGTGCAGACACACGGGCATGGCACGCACAGACACACGAACACACGGACACACAGACCCAGGGTGCAAATGCACACAGACTCGGTGTGTGCTGTGTGTGGCTGTGCACAGAGCACAGAACGCTCCTCGCTCCTGTGCCCGGGGTGACTCTCAGCGCACCTTTGGGTGCAGCCCGAGCCCCTG